TAGCAAATACTTGAACAGTTCAAAGAATACACATCTATGTTTAAGACAGCAGTAAGTAATTTCAAAATATCTCATGCCAAAGGACATAGAACATTGAACAGTACAGCACAGTACAGGCCCTTGGGCCCACAATGTTGTGCCAACCTATTATCCTACTAAGATCAAACTACCCTGCATACCCTACATTTTACTATCCTCCATGTGTCTGTCCAAGAGTCGCTTAAAAGTCTCTAAAGTATCTGACACCACTACCACTGCCGGCAGCGCATTCTACACGCCCACCACTCTCTGTGTGAAGAATCTACCTCTGACATTTCCCCTATACCTTCCTCCAATCACCTTAAAGTTATGCCCCCTTGTAATAGTCATTTCTGCCCTGGGAAGAAGTCTCTGACTATCCACTCTATCTATGCCTCTCATCATCTTGTACACATCTATTAAGTCACCTCTCATCCTTCTTCGCTCCAATGAGAAAAGCTCTAGCTTCCTCAACATTTCCTCAAAAGACCTGCCCCCCCAGTCCAGGCAGCATCCTGGTAAATCTCCTCTGCACCGTCTCAAAAGCTTCCACATCTTTCCTGAGGCGATCAGAACTGAACACAATATTCCAAGTGTGGTCTAACCAGAATTATATAGAGCTGCAGCATAACCTCACGGCTCTTAAACTCAATTCCCCTGCCAAATGTGTGATGCTCTATGATACACATTCCAGGAAAGATGTAAGGAAAATGGTGAGACAATTAATTAATGTACAGCTGTACTGCAGCAACTGACTTCGATATGTAAATTTTACACACCAATCAATGAACTAATTTGTAACAAATTAAAAAAACTTCAATTCCATGAACTAGAGAATGTCTCGTCTTGGCAGATAATGATGTAGCCTGGGAAAAACACCAACCTTGGTAGTGTTGATTCGAACAGATTAATCAGAAAACAGCGTTAGCTTCAGGGCAGTCAACACAGTCAGACCGTGATTCAAAACCATGCCCAAATCGTGGAAGGGCTTATTGATTCACAACAAAATGTCCAGCTTGAGAGCAAAAATGTAACTTATTGCAAAAATGGAACCATTTTACAACAATGTACTGTTTGCCGAAGAAAACTTAATTGGTTCGAGATGTGGTCCCTTCCTGACAGCGAGGCACGTACATACCATCATAAATGCTAAAGCTCATCTTAAGTCTTACTCAGGCATCTCAGCATTACTTCTGATCATTGTTGGTGCAAAAATATCTATTTTGCATGATACATACTGCCATTATTATTTTTCACCACTTGCTCTCACTCTTTCGGCAGACATTAGATGCATCTATTGTTGTGCTCTAGTCTTCTACAAAACATTACCACGCATAGTTTCATGTCTGTGTAGCTAAAGGCAGAAATCTTATCAGGGTAAATTGTTTTGGCAGGCTTGGTTTCAAATCTGAAGCCTCGACCAAAGCACACATTAACATGACTGATAATGCAGGCTATATCATTCATTCCTGCCTGGATTTTGGGGAGATCTTTTTGAGGGACTGTCATCTAACTTGCAGCACATTATTTCCACAAGACTCACAAGGTTTGAGACAGTTGTTGTTTGCAATCAGTGCCAAAGTCTCAGGAGCTGAAACTAGGAATAGTCAATATCATTGAGTGTACTGGCTCATCGCCATGGATACCAAACCTAATTATTGCACAATACAGAAATGGTAAACTTAAACTATTCATGTCAACATTTTCAACAAAAAGCAATCATTCCAGGCAAATATTCACTTCTTATAATTCAAGAACTATCTGCATAATTTCATGATTCTAAAGACACCTCAAAGCTGCATATATGTTGGAGCGATCTTTAGATGTTACTAGCAGAGCAAAGCTAATATCTTACAGGAACAAAAACAGAAGTTGCTGGAAAAGTTCAGCAGGTTTGGCAGCATCTGTTAGGAAAAAATCAGAGTTAACGTTTCGGGTCCAGTGACCCTTCCTCAGAGCTAGAAATATTTCCTCAGAAATATTTTACAGCTTTTGTTACTCATGAAGGTATGTTTCAGTACTTGAGAATTCTCTGTGAACTAAATTCAACACATAATGCATTACTGAAGATCATTTCTTCACTCTTGTCAGATGGAACATGTATAAATATACTTCAACAAGCTAACCAGATGCAACAGAACCATGGTTTGAAGTTGGAGGTTGGCCAAATTGCAACCATAATCCTGCATCATTTCCATTAGTGTCAAAGCAGATTAAGTGGTGGCTCAGCCCCAGTGTGTTAGACAATGACACCGACTGAAACATGTGACACATGATAGCAGGCAGATCAGAATACCTTAAGAACAGTGATTTTGTAACTTTTCTTTTCGCCTGAGGAGCTGTGATGTTGATCAATTTGTTCATGCAGACCTACAACCTCAATAGAACTCATCATAGTTATCAGAGACTCACGTATCTCAATGACCATTCTTATACTGAGAGAAAATGACAAGCTGAACTGTAAGAAATGATGGAAGTACATATGCTTGTTGGTAAGATAATTCACATCTTTAATTTACCAAAGTGAAAAACTGTAGAAAGAGCTGGAAGCTAGAGCTGAAGAATGGAGCAGGCATTGCAAAGCACTGTGAATGAAAATTGTCACACATTTCGAAACTGGTGTCATTTCTGCATAGATCTTAGCTGTAAAATACAACAGATGGATCTTTCACCAAGGTAACAGCATACAGCAGAGATAGAGTTTGGTAACAAGTCAGCAACTGGGTTGCTAGTGGATTCAATAGAGAAATGAAGAAAGGCACCTAACAGAATCACAGAATTACTGTAGTGTGGAAGGAGGCCTTTCGCACCTCAAACTTGAGTTCCAGTATGACTAGCGTTACTGGTCATTTCTAAGTATTACTGTTCTTTTGCATTTTTCTTCCCTGCTGGGAGTGGGAAAGATTAACAAGAATAATAGCTGGACTTTAGGGATTAAGTTATGTGGGGAAATTGTACAAATTCTATTTTCTCTAGAATTTAGAAGGTTAAGGGATGATTTGATTGAAGTCTTCAAAATATCAAGAGGAAAAGGCAGGGTCAATAAAGATAAACTACTTCCACTGGATTCCAGAACTAGGTGCAGTCTGAGAATTAGGGCCAAACTTTTCAGGAGAGATGTTAGGAAGCACGTCTACACACAAAGCGATTAGATGTTTGGAACTCTCTTCCACAAATAGCAGTGGATACTGGAGCAGTTGTTGATTATAAATTTGAGTTGGATAAAGTTTTGTTAAGCAAAGGTATTCATGGATATGGGCCAAAGTTGGGTATATGGATTTAGACCACAGATCAGCCATGATCTCACTAAATGGTGGAACAGGTTCGAGCGGCTGAATGGCATACTCCTGTATCTCTTTTCCTATGAATATACTGTGTTCCATGTATGAAAGGCCTACAATAGTGGATCATTCTTGCTGTTAATACTATAGAAAGCAGCATCAATTGGCCTCCACCCTCAAAGACTGAATAGGTCTATCCAAACAGGTGTCTTAACTTGCCTTCCCACATATTGTGCCCCTCCTCTAATTCTCAACTTCTTTAATTCTCTAAATTCTCTAACATCAATGTCTGTACTGATATTAGATTCAGTAAATCCATCACTGCTCCCTGCCCTTACCTCTACTCCTGCCCATTGCTGAGAGAAATCCCAGGGAAATGTGAAGAGAACAGAGGTTGATAAATGGTCTTGCTCCCTTTCCCCACTTCTTTTCACCCAGGAACTGTAAACTGTTCACAAAAAAGGGAAGTAATATCAGTGTTATCAGGAAGAATCAGATGTGGGTCTTAACAACCTTATCCATTATCCAACATGCTGAATCTTTTATTTATTTGACAGATGGTGAGGCAGTGGTGAGTTTCCAATAAAGGGGGTTATAGCTTGTTAAATGCCTTATTAATGTGGCAACTTGCTCCACTAATATTCAGCTTCTCATCTCACCAAATGCACTGACCAAACTCAACATCAAGAATCCTCAAACTAGAAGTCAGAGCGGGTACCTGGTGGATTCAGATCACCACTTGATCACATGGATCTCCATGTTTCTGAGCACCGAAAGGCTTTTCAGGGCATGATCTACGGCCACTAGGCAAACACACACAAAGCCAATGGTCATGGACAATGACATCCGATATTTGCCACCCTCTTACGGTACCTCTCCAACACACTTAACAGCTGTTTAGGAAGCACAGACTTGCACTACAGGGCGCACTAGCAAAACTAGCATCAAAAGGCTGCAGCAAGGACACTGAGCACACAGACAGGCTCCCAGCTCAGTGACAGGACAAGGCAGCATCTCAAGCCATTTCAGTTACCTGCCACTTAGGGACACCACCACGTTCCCATGGCAACATTTCTGTCTCAGCCCTGCCGCTGTGCTCCAGTGAAGCTCAATGAAAGCTGGAGGAACAACACCTCGTCTTCCGCCTCAGTATCTTCGGGCCTTCAGGACTCAAAATCATGTTTAACAATCTCAATTTATGAACACCTTGTTCCTTATACATTACCTACCTCCATAACCCCAGGTACTGTCATGATGTGGTTTGGGTTCAGCACAGATAAGTCATTTTCAACTACATGTAGACCCCATTATCACCTATTTTCTTTTGTTTACCATCGACAAATCTCTTTGTGTGCTAATCCTTTTCTCCCTCTCTGTCTCTCTGGGCTCCCCCTCCACCTATTAGATCATTCTTTTACCATTCCAACCCCATCATCAGCAATAAATCCTACATTTTCCTAGCTGTTTCTAGTTCTGATGATGGGTCACTGGACTTGAAACGTTAACTCTGTTTTCTTTCTACAGATGCTGGGCCTATTCTGTGCCCCTTAGGCTTATTCATTCAGGCAGAGTGGGCATTCCTTGTGCCCAGTAAATTTCTAGGCCCTATGTTCAGTGCCAGATTAGTTTTAACATATTTAGTAGCAATATCTGAATGGTGAATTTGAAATACAGAATACAGAGCAAATGAATGGGACTTACAACAGCCAAGTTCATCTTCTTTGGAAGAACAATCTGAAACTCCATCACACCTGAGCAATGATGGAATACATTCTCCGTTGGAGCATTGGAATTCTTTATCTCCACAATGATCCTGAGGAGGCAGAGTGCCGGGAATTATAGTTGGGCAGTTTAATTCATCACTACCATCCACACAGTCTTCTTCACCATCACACTTCCAATGTTGGTGGATACATTCCTGCAAATGCAGGCATTGAAATGCATCTGGGGAACAGGTCACTGGTGGAGTTGGAAGTGGTCCTACAAGAAGAGAGAAAAAATTGTTTTGATGGAAGTCGTGAAACATTAACCTGGTTATTCCATCCAACCAAACTTCATGATTATTTGAAGCTTTTTCTATTTCTGATTTATTTCCGTTTTCCAGCCTCTATAGCATCTTTTGCTTTAATGTTTGTAAAGTTGCCCTAGATCTTTATTTTTTCCTTAAATTGTGTTCCCTATTAAACCACTGGGGGGAAAAAAAACTTCAACCAGGAAGTTGGAGATGATAGCTATGTGTTCTCAATAAGAACAGAGATAGCAGCAGTTCTTGAAGCAGCAAAAATAAACTAAGCTTAGCACTCCAAAAGCAAAACTTCATTCAGGAACTGGTAAGAAGCACTAGGCAAGAATGTGGGCCAGGGAAAGAGAGGAAAGATAGCCATAGTTAGAAAATATTTGTGCCTCACTGACGGGTAACTTTATGAGAAGCCTCCAGGAGATGAAGTTTATAAAATCATGAGGGGCTTGGATAGGGTAAATAGACAAGGTCTTTTCCCCAGGGTGGGAGAGTCCAAAACTAGAGGGCATAGGTTTAAGGTGAGAGTGGCAAGATTTAAAAGGAACCTAAGGGACATTTTCACATAGAGAGTGATGCATATATGGAATGAGCTGCCAGAGAAAGTGGTGGAGCTGGTACAAATACAACATTTAAAAGGCATCTGGATGGGTATATGAATAGGAAGGGTTTAGAAGGATATAGACCAAATGCTGGCAAATGGTACTAGATTTATTTAGGATATCTGGTCAGCATGGACAAGTTGGACTGAGGTGTCTGTTTCCATGCTATACATCCCTATGACTCCAAGACTCTAAGTTAGGGACAATGGAAAAGAAATAACTTAATGAAAAATGGCACCAAAGCCAGCAAAGGAAGGTAGGGGAGGTAAAATAGAGTTATCACCTCTCACAACAAGCATTGCAGCTATCAATATTAGACTTCATAGGGCGCAGTTTCAAGGAACATCTAAAAGGGTCAGAAATAAATTTAGACCAAGGCTACAGAATCAGAACGACTTAGAATTTATATAAGCTGCAAATGAGCAAAACTAAAGAAATCTAGTGAAAAAGTCCAGTTGAAGAAGAAAAGTGGAGAAAAATTAAGGAGTTAAAAGGACTTTGCTGCAGTTCTGGTTGCCACAATATAGGAAGAACTTGACTGCACTACAGACAGTGCAGAGGAGATTTACAAAGGTGTTACCTAGACTGGAGTGATTCAGCTTTGAAGAGAGATGACATAGGCTGGGTTGGTTTGCTTAGAGCAGAAAAATCTGATGCGGTTTGGAGTGGGGATCTAATTGAGGTGTGCAAAGTTCTGAGGTAGGGTGGATAGGGAGAAACATCTCCCCCCTAGTAGAGGGGTCCATATGCATAGGGCACAGTTTCAAGATAAGAAGCATAAGGTTTAAAGGATAATAGAGGCAGGAATCCTCAAGACATTCAAGAATTATAAAGATGAGCATTTGAAATGCTGTAGCATGCAAAGCAACAGTACAAGATCCGGGATGAGGGATTTAGAATAGATTGATGCTTGTTAAATGAACAATAGGCCGAAAGGTCTCTTCCTATGCTGTAAAGTCTCTATAATTCTTGGATTAGGACTCTAATTACTATATGATTTTAGTGAATGAATTTTTAAAGCCAGAGAAGTGCATATGATATTCTTGTGAAATGTCCTGATAAGTGCAGGATGAAAAGTTTCAACAAAATGTTTCTTTTCTGAGCAGGACTGAATTGCAAAAGTAGCACGTGGTTAGAGTTACAGAAAAGAGAAGGTTACACATGCAAAGGCTTTAATGTGACATAGCACAGTCCTTTACAAATAATCACAGCATTTAAAGGGGACGTTGGTGTTCTCCATGACCATGATTGATAAAGCTTGTTTTGAACTTCTGATAATTATTGTAATTAATGGATAATGCATGAGAACAGTTGTGTGCATAGTGGGTAACTTGTTTAGTCATGTGACCTCTATCATGATCATCGCTGCAGACTTCCATTTCAATAAACCACAATACAAGCAAGATTGTTCTTCTGTGTGCTTGTAACTCCCAGTACCACATACTGGTAGAGGTGGCAAATACTACAAGGTACCCAGACGGTTCATTTGAGAAAACACCACGTTAATAACATCCAAAATCTTAATAATCTCACTTTCTGGACACTGAAATACTAAAATGACTTCATAAATGACTTCATAAATGAAGAACAATAGATAATAGGTTAAAAATAAAAGATTTGAAGTAGATGGCAGACAAATGTTTTCTCACATGGCAGGTCAATTCTCGTGTGTTGGCATTAATGGATTTGGACAAACATGGTTTGCATCCTCGTTTATCTGTTAACTGAATAGGGTGGCCACAGTTTTGAAAGTGACTGAAATATCTGGTCATTTAGGTTGTTGGTTCTTTTCAAAATGCACTTTAATGTTTTAGGCCTCCAATTGTCACTTACGCTTAGAAAGGGTCTGAACACACATTCTGTGCAAGCTATATGTTGTTATTACAATGGGTTTCTCTTAAGGGTGAAATTGCCTGCGTTAAATATGAAGGAAGATTTCCTGGTGAACCATGTGGACATCGAATGACCAAAGTAAGAATCACAAAATTGCAAGAGAAGGCTTTTGACAGAAGTTTTGCCTAATTCCCTCTGTCTGTTGTTTCTGACCTGTTACATTTCGCATGCCATTGTGTCAATAAAATAGCAGAATTTAAGAAAAATACGTTAGCTGAATATTAACCACACTGACCTGGATTTTGTACCAGCATTATTCTATTTGCCTTCAAAATCCATTTGCATGGGCCCAAGAGAAAATCCATGTCTAATGAAATTCTTACGATGGGACTGACTTTTAATTTTTCTGTGGTTGCAATGTTTGGTGTGCCTTGCTAGTGCCCTGCTGTTTACATTAGAGATTATTCTGGGATCAGCAAAGACATTACTGAGCCACAGGAAATAAAATGGCAAAGAATCAAGAAAAGAGTGATTGGAATTGCTGCTGACTAACACTCTAAGGCAGCTTTTAGCTAATCCATACAGACCCCTATGTACTTGTAGCATTCCTGTTACTAACTAATAACAACTCAATAAAAAAAGAGAGAGCAACCAAGAAAGTGACAATTCCTACAGAATGAATTATCAGTAAGATAACCATGAAATGATCTGGGAAGCTGCGAGTATGCTCAAACACAAAAGATCTAAATACAGCTCTGAAGAGATGGCAGATACCCTATACCAACCAGCGAAGTAACTTTGCCACAACTTGCGAATGCAAAAATCTTCACTAGTCTGCCTGCAACATGTGGTAATTGGCAAGTGCATCTGGATGAAAGCAACAGCTCACTAGCTTTAAAGGAATAGGAAAGTTGACTTTTCGGGTCGGGAAAGGTCTTGAACTGAAATGTCAACTTTCCTGCTCCTCTGATGCTGCCTGGCCTGCTGTGTTCCTCTAGCTCCACACTGCGTTATGTCTGATTCCAGCATTGGCAGTTCTTACTATCTCTGAGCTCTCTAGCTTTGTTGAGGATGCTTTTTGGGAAATACAGATTGTTTTTCTGATGAAGGGTCTAGGCCCGAAACGTCAGCCTTTCTGCTCCTATGATGCTGCTTGGCCTGCTGTGTTCATCCAGCTCTGCACCTTGTTGTCTCGGATTCTCCAGCATCTGCAGTTCCTACTATCTCTGTTGTGCATGCTGTTTGGCCTTTCCATGGATCAAGAAGAGCATCAATGCGAACAGCATGTGACAGTGAGTGATTTTTCCAGAATGGAAACTGAAGTGGGTGATCTGCTAGTTTATGGATGCCGAGACAATTGCTGACCATGATCAAAGTCGAGTGTGACCGTTATACCGAGCTCACACAGAAGAATCTGAAGCTGAGGAAGAAAAATTGCAATGAACGATTCCCAATATCAAGTACACAAAGGCAAAATGCTGGAATAGCTGATGTGGCAACAACAGATATGAAAGCAGTGCAACAATTGATAACTAATTATGCACTATTTCATATAGTTTACAGCTACATATTCAGCTAAGTTTTGTATGACATCAACATATTAATTGGGGTTTCTGCACCCTTAGATCCACGCTTATGCAGACCCTCGTTCGAGTATTGGACCAATCAATATCCCGATCATTGATCATCAACCCCCGAACCCATTTCACATCTAAATCCTACCTGAAGCTAATGGGAACATTGAAATGAGTAATGGGCTACTGCATGAAATTGATTGCAGCCATTAGCAGGGCATTTTATCTGTAATAAATGTTTGCAGCTTGAAGAATCCATACAGTGTGAAAGCAGGACATTCAGCCCATTGAGTCTACATGGACCCTTCAAAAAGCATCCCACCCAGACCTAGCTCCTACCCTATACCTGTAACCCTGTATTTCCCATGGCCATTCCACCTAACCCGCACATCTTTGGGCTGTGGGAGGAAACCCAAGCACTCAGAAGAAACCCAGGCAGACACAGGGAGAATGTGTGGACTTCACACAATCACCCAAGGATAGAATCAAACCCAGGTCCCTGATGCTGTGAGGCAGCAGGCAGCATTGCTAACCACCAAGCCACCATGCTGCCCCAAGAACCTGGAGTCAAAACTGTAGACACTGCAACAAATCAAAGATGGTGAATGTTACCTGGGCATTTTGCTCTTGAGGACAGTCACAACCCTCAGACTAGGTCATTCAGATTTGGCCCTTGATCAGAGACAGGAGGTGGTGACTGCATTTGAGTCAAGTACATTGAGCTATGGGAAAGTATTTGAGGAGCTTCGATCCCTACAATTGTCCAACAGTTATGTGTTTCTTGAAAGCTGTGTGGGTGGGAGTGGGAACTCCTAGTAGGATGAATGATCTGAATAGCATTGAACATGTTGGGAACCATTCAAGTGGGGAAGTGGAATAGGAATATAACGATAGTGGATGAAATAATTAGGGAAATGTTTAGTGTTGTCTGCACCTGTGAGTGTGAGTCTTGAA